TAAATATTTAAAAAAAAAAAACTATATATATAAATATAGAGACATGTATATTTGATTATATAAACATATATTAATTACATTATTATTATTATTATTATTATTATTATTATTATTATTATTATTATTATTATTATTTTAAGGATTAGGTAACAAGGGCAAAGTTGGAATATTCAAGATAATCTAAGATTACCTAAGAAAATGGGGTAATCACATCACCTTGAAACATTACCGTCACATCAGCTTTCAAGTAATATAACATTACCAACTAATTTTATAACTTGAACCAAATAAGGTAATATAACATTAACAGACTTAGATTACCTAGGTAATCTAAAATGACCTGAACCAAACGCCCCTAAACGTAAGATAACAACTTTAGTCTTTATCCTTAATCTTAAAAGGATAAGAATATATCAAATAAAATGAATTAAAATGATTAAACTGAGCAAAAAGCAAAACTATATATACATGGACTTCCAAATTATTTTCATCATTCTTCGACTGTGGCTGGGATTTATTGTTCACTACTATACAACAGGCTTTTAACGTCGGCTAAATAGAGCTTTTAACGTCGGCTATCTACCGTAGTTGTTGCGCCCGTCGTTGTAAATATTATTTATAACGTCGGCTATTTATATAGCCGACGTTATATCTTATTTAAAAAAAAAATAAATAAATACTTTCAACGTCGGCTAAATGCTAATAGCCGACGTTGTAGGTATTTTATAAAAAAATTAAATTACCTACAACGTCGGCTATTAGCATATAGCCGACGTTGTAAAGTATTTAAAAAAAATTAAAATACTTACAACGTCGGCTAAATGCTAATAGCCGACGTTGTAGGTATTTTAATTTTTTATGAATGTACGTGATTTCGGACGGGAATATGTAGGCATGGTTCCAAAGTGAATGTGCATGTATGAATTCATAATTTATGAATGTCCGAAACTCCGAAATTATGAATGTAATGAAAATTCATAATCTCATAACAGAAAATTCATAATCGCATAACAGAAAATTCATAATCTCATAACTGAAAATTCATAATCTCATAACAGAAAATTCATAATCTCATAACAGAAAATTCATAATCTCATGGTTAAAAAAAAATGGCTCAAATAATACATGGATACAAAATTAGGCATTACATAGGGTTACATTTTAATATGCGTTTGTTATACACCCATAATTCTCACACCACAGTTTAATTACTGCAGTTTAGCAATTTCTGCATATAGAGAGATACAAAAAGCAGATCGAAAAGAAAGATATCGACGATATTAAATATCTATCTATATTTATACTATATACTAATGAGAGGCATAAATTTAATAAAATTGAAAATAAATTTAATAAAATTCGAAATTAATCAATAAAATATACAAATATATACAAACAAACCCTAAATTGTAAATAAATTTAATAAAATTCAAAATTAATCAATAAAACATACAAATATATACAAACAAACCCTAAATTGCAAAAAAATTTAATAAAATTCGAAATTAACATACAAATATACACAAACAAACCCTCAATTGCAAATAAATTTAATAAATTTCGAAATTAATTAATAATAATTAAAAAATATATATATAACATACCTGCTCCGTCCGTCGTCGATGGCTGGCAGCGGCGGCGGCGTAGAAGGAGGCGCGAAGCGGCGGCGGCGTAGACGGAGGGCGTGAAGCGGCGGCGCGTCGGCGATGTCGTGGACGATGCAGCGAGGACGGTGAGGACGCCGGCGAGATGTCGTGGACGACGTCGGGGAGAGGCAACGGCGGAAGCAGCGGCGGCGGAGGCGGTGCGGAGGTGGAGTGGCGGAGGTGATCGAGACAGTGGAGGGAGTACAGTGAATAGCGGTGTATTATTCTCAGATCTGGATGGAGAGTTTAAAAGTAAAAAAAAAATATATAATATATATATATAAAACTATACGACGTCGGCTAAATAGTTAGCCGACGTCGTATACATTTTTTTTTATCTTTCGTATATAACGTCGGCTATTTCAAAATAGCCGACGTTATATATAATTAATTTGTTTTTTTTTTTAAATAATAAAACTTACGACGTCGGCTGTATTAATAGCCGACGTCGTAAGTTATGTATTTATTTTATATTATTGTTTTATACTTATAACGTCGGCTATTACTAAATAGCCGACGTTATAAGTCTAATTATTTTTTTAAAAAAAATTAAATGTTTTTAACGTCGGCTATGTATATAGCCGACGTTAAATACCCGACGTTGTATGTCTACATAGCCGACGTTAAATACCCGACGTTGTATGTCAATTCTGTAGTAGTGGTTGTGTGTTATTATAGGCAGCTAGGGTGAAACATGTTCTTAGCTGGGGAAACATTATTGTTGTTTCAGGCCTTAGCAGAAGCTAAGGTTGATTGCTGAATTGATACCAACATGTTCTCAGAAGAGGAAACATGCAATGTGTGTGCTGTTGGTGAATCAAATTGAATTGGGACAAGATCAGATGCAATGCAAGGTATAATATAATGGTGGTGGAGACTTGAGTGGGATCATGCATGTCATTCATTCAAGACTAGCTAGCCTCCATAAAAGAAATTGAGGGATTCCTGTTACGTTTGATGTGACAAAAATTTCATAATCTAACGTTGGCATAAATTGTTTGTGATACAATCTTACATTGATTCAAAACAGATTGTGAAGTGATCACTACATATATATTAGACTAGTCTTTTGGAATGAACATTTTTCTTGAACTGAGTACCTATCATTAAATACTCTTGTTGAAAGCTCTGCGTGTGAGCAGATTGAAAGGGTTAGTCATTTGGTTGTCCAAGAAGAAATGTGCAAACGGCCAAGAAGAAACGCTCCAACCAATAGCCTTTTCTAAATGGGCTATTTGGACAAATCAACCATCTCAAAAAACTATCTTACCACACACTTAAATTGGCTGATTTATAAAATCAAACAGCCAATCATAGTCAAATCAACTAATTTTGGCTGATAGGCTGAGTTACCAAACACCCCCTATGTGGTGGTTGATAGGTGCAATTGGCGTCAAGAAGAGTCTAAAATATGAGTTATTGCATGAATATCCACTTCTCAAAGGATTGACAATGATTCGATTCAACCCCATATAAGCTCCACTCCATAAGAAACATGCTTATGTGTTGGTTTAGACAACATGTTTATTGGCAATGTAATAGTGGAATAAATATGGGAACATTGAGAATGCCCCATACTTGGTAGAGAGGCAATTTATATCGTGTTTGATGCAAAACGACGTCGTTTTACATAACTGTATAAAAAAATATACATAATTGTATAAATAAACACACATAACTGTATAAAAAAATATACATAATTGTATAAACAAATACACATAATCACGTCAACTCTCTTCCGCGCCTCCCAAAACGACGTTGTTTTGGGAGACGCGGGGAGCACAGTGCTGCACGCGCCGTGGTGCAGGGTATAACGATTGTGGTATAGAGGCCCATAACATTAACTCAAATTTTACTTGGGAACAATGGTCCAACATTAAATGCCTTCAATCATTATTGTGTGAACCATGGTCCATACAAGTTGTGTATACCATATTTTGTATATTATAAAATAATATACATTCAGTACAAAAATAATGTACATTCAACAAAAAAATAATGTACATTATATTCAGGGGATGTACATTATTTTTATACTAAGTGTACATTATATTGTATAATGTACATTCAATACAAAAATAATGCATATTTAATATATGAAAAATGTATTTTTTATAATGGTGCACATGACACTGTATAATTTGCCCCTTGCCTTCTAATATGCTCAAGATCTGAAAAGCAACAGATTCAAAGCCTAAAGACAGTATTTTTATTATATTTACTGCCCAGTTGGGATTAGCATAAACATAAACGCCTGGAATAAGTAATTAATAGTAGTAATTCAGAGAGTACTCATTACTCAGTATATATAGTATTATAGTATAACCTCGTTCATTCTATTCATTCCTTGATCTCTGCAAAAATACAATAATAGAAACAAATCAATGCCTCCCTTAAATAGAGAAAATCACAACCATTCAAAAAATCTTTGAAATCACACCGAAAATATAGACTTAATTAGAGCATCCACATCAGTGGATATTAGGGAGATAATGTCAGATGAATTATCTTGGGTGGGGATAATAACAAATGTGGGGTGTGGTTATTTGTGGAGATAATTGTTCTGCAAGTTAAGGGTTAATGTCAGAAAAAAAAAAAAAAAAAAAAAAAACTGGCTGTGCGCGTTGGCGCATAGCCAATGTCTACACGGGCGCGTGCATTGCACGCGCCCGTGTAGCGCGTCAGGCGCGCTGACAGCGCGCCTGACGCGACAGATTTTTATTTTTATTTTTTCAAATTTTGTTTTGTTATTTTTTTTTCTTTTTTTTTTCTCCCCTCCCACATTCTCTTTCCTAATCACTCTTACATTATCTTCCCAATCTCCCCAACAAATGTGGATGCTCTTATCATTGGATTGGATTGCACCACAATCTTGTGAGATGTGTATAATGGTATATAAGTTCTCCTACCTCCCTAGTATGAAATAGAATCATACACCCTATAATTGTCAACGATATAAAGCTCTTAATTTTTCTTTGAATTGATCAATCAATTGAATTAAAAACTTGTTACGCTCCTTTTTCTAGTTCGGGTATATCTAATTTTAAATTTTCAGAACCCCTACCCAAGAACTGCTGGAAGAGGTAAATCGCGTGTCATCCTATCAGTCCCCAAATTTCACCCCTTGCTCGTATACGTTGCACACAACAGTCTTCATTACCTCTGATCGGCCTAGGTCATCTAATGACCCCTAGATTCCCAGTAAAATTCAAACCCTCACACTATTGTTGGAGTAACATCGGTCAAATTAACTGAGTTAGCCCGCATAACAATCTCTTTTTTTTTTTTTTCTTTTTTAAATTGTAGCTGATAGAGACAGCGTTCCAGATTGTGCCGTGTCAGCATACAATAATCCAACGGCTACTAGAAAATAAAATCAACCTACGAGTCTGCAAGACATTCTTGTTGGGTTTTTTTCTGGATTGAACAAACAAAGAATGCAACCGTCTTTCCCTCATTCCCACTTTTTCTCTTCCCTGAAACGATTGGAGAAAAGATTGAAACTTGACACTCCAACAGACCTTCCGCCTCCACAAAATCAACAAAACTGCGTACTTGAAACTTCGACCGAGTCCCTAGGCACCCCATTATACCTCAATTCCTTACCCCACCCGCCCACCACTTCCTCAGACCTCCAAGAAAGTGAAGCTCCTCAAGAATTCCTCTCAAACTCCCCTGATTTCGCCCCAACCCTAGCACAAGATCCACCTCAAGAGCCAATGGGGAAAGTTGAAGAGGATGATGATGATATAAATCTGCTGATGCAGTTCTTGGGCTTGTCAGGGTGTGAGGGTGGTGGGTCCCAAAGGGCAGGGCAGAATCTGGGGTGTGATGATGATGGGTTTTATGGAGGGGTTGTTGGGGTGAAGGGGATAAAGAGTGGGAAGGAACTGGAGAGGTTGGATGGGTGGATTAAGCATTTCTTGAATGGTGAGAAAGAGAGAAGAGAGCCCTTGAGGTTGGCTCATTTGCTTCTGGGCAAAGCTGCATTTCTGCATTCTATGGATGATAGTGATGATGGGTTTGGAGGCCTTGAGTTCCCTTCCACCATTGATGAGTTCTTGCAGAATGATCCACCAGCTGATGAGGTCTAATCTTTTTGCTTTCTAATTGGTTAAGTTAAACTCTTGGAGCCCTTTTTGCTGTTGTTATGATATTTTTTGCACATTTGAAGATGAAGTTTTATAATTGCCTCATTTTGTTTTGTGTTCTCTTTGAGAATCTGTTGTGAATGTATAATTGCTTGTGTATTGCTTTTTCCAGTGTTCTTGTGATACAATCAGTTCTACTGTCTAGTGAATGACAATATGCTAATTCTGGTTAAAGAAAATACTTCTTAACCCTCCGGGATTTCCCCTCCCATATGTTCCCTCCCGACAGGACTTCCATTCATTGGGTGTCCATGAATTGGCGGACCCACCACCAACTAAAAATGTAATTCGATTAATAATCAAACCAATCAGGTGATGCCATGTCAGGAGGGAAAATGAGGGGTATGTAGCATTACTCTTCTGTTAATTAAACACGTTTAATGTGAAGTGCATTTCATACTTGAGATAAGAACTCGAGAAGATGATAGTAATGTAGAAGTAGCCTAAAAATCTACTCCCTAGTAAAAAAAAAAGATTGATCTTTTACATCTTAATATCTTGTTGAGCCCGAGAGCTCTTACAAGTAGGTTCAAACTGAGGTCATCGAATTACAAGTTGGCAGGCGTAGTACTTGACTTGATCTAATAGTCACCTTTTCTGTTCAAAAAAAATAAAAGTACAAATATTTTGTATCCAGAACATTTAGTGAAGGCTGAAAATTTTGTTCATGTCGATGATCTAAGAGACGTTTTTTAGCACTTCAATAAGAGATGAAAGTTAAGATTGAGGAGTAGAATCTGGATAAGCTAATCAAGAAATGTAAAGACTTTACCTGGTGCAATGTATCCAATTGTTCCATTTGATGAAGATATACACCCATTCTTGAATCTGGAGTCAGTTGTTGTTTGAAGATAGTCTAGCTGTCTAGGCATTCGTATGGCATGCACTAACTACATCTGGAAATATAAAAATCATGAAAGAGTGATGATCTGTAATAACAAACGAGGATGAGTTGGACCAGGTTTTTGGATTGAAATGGACCTGGTGGTGATGTGTCGGGGCATGGGGCCCAATAGGCCGAGAAGGCAAGAAGGCGAGAAGGCTTGCCCGATGCTGGTAAGGGTGGTTGAAGAGAAGCTATCTGAGTACGTGATTGGTAGGGGAGAGGCTTGGACCGAGTTGTAGTTGTAATAACTAATAAATGTCCGAATTATAGTGTGAGTGTAACGTAGTTAGCTAAGAGTTAGGAGTTTAGTATCTCCATGGTGTAACGCACAATAACATCTCATTCTCGAGGCATTAATAGGTTTCTTTGCAATCTAGTCCTTAACTTCGAGCTAGTTCTCGATTTAGCCTTAACCCGAGAAAATCTACTTCCACCAAGAACAATATATCTAAGAACAAAACCCCATTGCTAGAATAATGATCCAACCACACGATATAACACCCATCAATTGTACTGTAGGCTTAAGAAATTGTACTTTAGTGTTTCTCTCTTTATCATCGCCCTTTTGACATATGTGAAGTATTTATCAACGGATTATACTACATGTACTCCCAAATTTTACTCCCTGATGTGGCGGGTTCTGATAGGTTATTATCTTCATGTGGGCCCCTGTAAAAGTGTCTACATCAATATTTTAAGTGTGGGAGTATGGGATGGGAGTACATGTAGTATTTTCCTTTATCAACAGGTGTGCATAAAGTTTTGAAACGTTCATGTAAATCATCTCTCTTAGTCTCTCCCTTTATAGCAACGTTAGGCTACTAAAAGCTCTCACTTTACCGATTAACTTTACATCCATGGCTAAGTCATGTACTTCCGTTTCCATTATCATCCTGTTTCTTCTCCTTCATTTCTCCACTTCAGGTACCTCTTATTGTTCTATACTCTTTTTTATGTTTTTGTCTGCACTTTTCACGCAATTATCATACATTTATCTTTGTTAAATTACATATAATTAGTATCTTATTTTGGCCTTAGTATTTTCATTAGTGTATCTGTCTTTTCTCCTTTCCTTTATCGTCCTGCAAATGGTAGAATTTGGGTAAGGCATAAAAGTAGACTTGATCCATTTTTATTGCCCGCAACTTTATTGTCTGTTTCGCCACCTTTTTCTTTGAGTTTATATCTGCTTTCTCACATTTTTTTCATTTTTCAGGTAATATGATGAGGCTTGCAAATGCACAGGCACCTGGACAGGTAAGTTGCGAAAATTCTGAGATGTTATTTACTAAAAATAATGATGAAAAGCAAAAACATTAAACTGAAATATCGTTCACGATGAACTTGCAGGGTTCTTGGTGCCTTCCAAGGCCTTCTGCTAGTTACCGGGAGCTGATAGATAACATCAAGTATGCTTGTAACGTAGTGAACTGCACAGCAATCCGACGAGGTGGCCCTTGCTTCCACCCGAACAGTCTCGTAAACCACGCTTCTTTCGCGATGAATCTCTACTATCAGAAAGCGGGGAGGAACTTCTGGAACTGTGATTTCAAGAACACTGCTGTCATCGTCGTGACTGATCCAAGTAAAGAAAACCTTAAGTACTTATATTTCATTTATATTTTTTTTCGGTTATTTACTCTCCTTGACGGGTTGAAGTTAAAGTTGGTTTTCTTTTTCCTCTGTAATTCTGCAGGCTATGGCAATTGCGAATATGAGTGCACCCGGTAGGTGTAAGAAGCCAGATTTGCGTTTTTTAAGCTAGAATATCTGATTATTGTCATATTTCCCTTTTGTTGGTACTTTAATTTTCTTGTTTGTCCAAATAATATGTGAAAGTTTACCTTGTAAGGACTAAGGATTAATATTTGCTGCAAGAAATAATTCCATTCAAGAATGTTGTTTGCATTGCTGACCTACTACTACCCACACCAATATTCTGCACTTTCTAGATCTTGACTGTTGGAAACTTTATATTTGCATGATCTTCTTGGTCAGCAGAAAAAAAGATATGAAGATATGGAAATGCCCTTTTTTTTTTTTTTTTTTCATAAAGATCATGGACTAAAAAACCATGCGCTTTTTGAGTGGATTAATGATGGCATTGAACAACAATCAAATGTTGGGGCAACTCCAGCCAAGTTGGTTAGGCTGTTGTTTGGGTAACTACAAGGTTTCAAATTCGACTCCCAATGGGAGCGGCTTATTGTCTCTGGTTTGAATCGGTCCGCTATAGGCAACCTAGGCTGGTTTATCTTCTTGTGGTCCTTTGTTGATTAGAGTCACAAGGCGAGGCTTATTCAGTACATACTTTCAGGTAATGACCAAAAAAAACAATCTCGTGTTTGTTTTTAGGTGTTACAAGTACTAAAACAATATTCTCATATTGATGTCTGGTTTGAAGAGCCTATGGTGTGACCAATGAAATCTGTGAAAATACATGCCTGCTACATGAAACAGGGGACCCACCAGTCCACCACCCTTGTCTTGTGACTTACATTGTTAAGTTGTTTGAAATCTTAAGAAGAATTGAAAGAAAAAGAGATTGAAAGGGCTTGTTTGGTTATTAACGGTAGCTAATTGTGTTAGTGATTATCAGATAGTGGATTGTATTAACGAGTTTGACCAACAGATTATATTAACGGTTTGTAAAAAAATGTTTGGTAAAATTAGCTTATTAAATTAGCGGTTAACATATAAAATGACCATAAAAGGTATACATTATAATTTATAATAATAATAATAATAAGAGTTAATCAACGATTTGGTCCCTCAATTATTGCCAAACTGTGAATGTTGTCCTTTAATTCCTTAATCATCGATTTATTCCCCGAAAATAACTGTTTTTAGTCATTTTAGTCCCTCCGTCCGTTTTCCGGCTACACTCCGGTTAGACCTCCATTTACCAGGGTCAATTTTGTTATTTCATTTGTTTATTCACTCCAAGCTAAGGAATATTTCTCCGGCGGTTCTAGCAAGTGCTGGCAAGTATCCGGCACTCGATTCCTCCGGCGGAAAAGCTAGAAGCGGAGCCAGCGCTGATGGAAGCCATGGGTTCGAGGACGGTCTCCGGCGTGAACAGGTCATCTCCGAACCCCGGCTCCGGCAACACGAGAGAGTCCCGGTTGCATATGTGATCGAATAATTTCACCCCTGTTTTCATCATGTGTTAGTTGAAGCTGAGGAAAAACAAGGAAATACCCAAAACTGATCAGCCAATTTTACAAACAGAAGCTAATTAATCACCACTGCAAAAAAAAAAAAAAAAAAAAAAAAAAAAAGTAAAGATTTAACATTGCAGGAGATGGAGCAGAAGAGGAAGGATTCTTGAACGGCTCTGTCACAGATAATGCAAAGCTTTGCATAGCCTCTGCAAGGCCTTGTGATCGGTCTTTCATTCAGAAACACAACTTTCTCACTATTACTAATATAAGACTGCAAAATCACATGAAAAAAGGAAGCCTAAACACAACAAACAAAAATCCCATGTCTCAAACGTTGTTAAAATCAAGAAATGAATGGATACATACTTAAACAGAAACACAGTCCAGCAATTTCTCAGCATCCTTCAACCTCAAAACATCATGGTAGATATACCTTCTTACCTATCACAACAACCCACAAATTCATAATCTATAATCAATCATCCACACAGTAAAATGTGATATCTTTATATATAAACCTGCAAGAGACGATGGGAGCGGTGAGGGGTCAAGCAATGAGGGCAAATGGCAACGCAACAGTCCAAGCAAAAGATATTCTTTTCTTTCTTTCTGACAATATTGTGTTTTTTTTTTTGTGATTCCATGGAAGAGAAAGATGCCGAACTCAAAGTGTGGGTTAAGCAAGTACGAAGTGAATAAACAAAAGACTTCTTCTCCGACGGCGGCACGACATCGGGCGAGACTTCTTCTCCGACGACGGCGGCATTAACGTGGTACACTCTCATGCTCATCATCTTCTTGGATGGGTTTTTGGTAGCTGGATGGATGATCTTCTTGTTCTTCTTCTTGTCCGAGACAGAAGTCGCCGGGATCAAGAAGTAGATACTTCCTCTCTTGAGCTCAGACTCCGGCGAGAGGATTATGATCCAGCGAACCATGCCTTGAGAGCTACTGGGCTTACTCAAAACGTGGTTTGGGTTGTTGTTGAGAACCTCGCCGGCGGTGATGGGATGCGCAAGTTTCTCAACCTGCCCGTTCAAGTGCACTATACGGATCAAGTCTAAGGCTCCGCAAGGAATAACACAAGCCAAACAGCACCTTAGACTGTTGCCCATCTCTTGCACGCCGGAGACCGTCCTCGAACCCACGGCTTCCATCAGTGCTGGCTCCGCTTCCAGCTTTTCCGCCGGAGGAATTGAGTGCCGGATACTTGCTAGCATGCAATATTCCTTGGAGTGAATAAACAAATGAAATGACAAAAATGACCCTAGTAAATCGGAGGTCTAACCGGAGTGTAGCCGGAAAATGGACGGAGGGACTAAAATGACTAAAAACAGTTATTTTCGGAGACTAAATCGATGATTAAGGAATTAAAGGACAACATTCACAGTTTGGCAATAATTGAGGGACCAAATCGTTGATTAACTCTAATAATAATAATAATTTTTTTTTTAAAAAAAAAAAGAAAAAAGAAAGAAAGAAGAGAGCAGCGCAAGCTGCTCCCCTCTTGTATTCCCACTTTTTCACCGTCCCACATCGGTGAAAAATGTGAGAATGGAACCTTAAGGAGCCTCAAGGCTCCAATAATTCGTTGCCCATCCCAGATGGGCAACACTGAGGAGCTGTTTTGGCTTCTCAAATTGAGAAGCCGTTTCGGCTCCTTAACTATAAGTTTAATTTTAATTTTTATTTTTTTAAACAGGGGCATTTTGGAAAAAATTTCAACTGCAAACTCTGCACTTTGCAGCGTTTGCAAAAGCAGCGGTTTGGAGCAAACCGCTACTCCAAACTGTTGCTTAACTAAACTTTTTTTTTTTTTGACGATTTGACATAGTCAAACATCAAAAAATGACGGATTCGTCAAAAAATAACGGATCCGTCAATAATCAAACATGGCCAAATCATGATGTTGAACTGTTAGGAGGATGAGGATTTGATTATTGAATATCAATCGTAACTGAGTCTGTACAAGTAATAATATAGAGAGTAGATAAAGAGTCCTAACGTACTACTAGTATAAGAGTCCTAATACTCCCCCTCAAACTCAAGACGGAGCAACTGCAACATTGAGTTTGTCCCGTAGAAAAGAAAACCGAGTAGACGGAAGAGCCTTGGTGAAAACATCTGCTAGTTGATCCTTCGTAGAAATAAAGTGAACCTGAATCTCCTTCTTGGCAACCTTGTCGCGAACGAAATGATAATCAATCTCCACATGCTTCGTTCGGGCATGAAATACCGGGTTCGAGCACAGGTAGGTGGCACCCAAGTTGTCACACCACAGAGTTGGCGCAGAAGCCGGCGGAAAACCAATCTCTTTAAGAAGTGAAACGAGCCACGTAACCTCAGCTGAGACATCAGCTAGAGCCTTGTATTCAGCTTCAGTAGACGAACGCGCCACCGTGCGCTGCTTTCTGCATGACCAGGAAACCAGATTGGTACCCACGTAGACCGTAAAGCCACTGGTTGACTTCCTATCATCCGGATTTCCAGCCCAATCCGAGTCAGAAAAAGCATGAACAGCAGTAGACAGAGACCTACGAATACTGAGTCCAAGACCAAGAGTACCCTTAACATACCGTAACACCCGCTTCATCAGACTCCAATCAGTCGTGGTAGGAGACTGCATGTGCTGACAAAGCCTATTGACTGCATAAGATAAATCAGGGTGAGTCACAGTCAAGTACTGCAGGGCACCCGCAATGCTGCGATAGTGAGTGGGATCGGCATAAGGAGTGGTGTCAGCATCATCAGACCGAACAACTGAAACTGGGGTCGAGACCGGCTTGCAATCCACCATGCCGGTCCGCTTAAGAATGTCCTGGATATAACGCCTCTGAGAGAGGAGAACACCATCCGAGAGCGGCACAGTCTCAATGCCAAGAAAAAAAGACAGAGCCCCCATATCCCGAATCTTGAACTCTGCAGCCAGCTTGGCCACAATTCCTGAGACCCGCTGTGAGTCCGAGCCCATGACCAGAATGTCATCAACATACACCAAAAAATACAACTGCACAGCACCATCAGAATAGATAAATAATGACACGTCAGTTTTAGAAGGAATAAAGCCAACAGAACAAAGAAAATCGTGCAACCGAGTGAACCAAGCACGAGGGGCCTGCTTCAAACCATAAAGAGAGCGTTGCAGAAAGCACACATGATCCGATTTCGTCTTGTCCTCGTAGCCAGGCGGCTGACGCATATACACTGTCTCAGCTAGAGAACCATTCAGAAATGCATTGTGAACATCCAGTTTTCGAATGGACCAACCACGGGAGTAAGCTAAGGAAAGTAAAAGCCGAACCGTGGTGGGCTTGACAACCGGACTGAACGTCTCAAAAAAGTCTTTCCCGGCAACCTGATTAAAACCCTTAGCCACCAGCCGGGCCTTGTGACGGTCAACAGATCCATCCGCATTTCGCTTGACCCGAAATACCCACTTACACCCCACAACATTCATACCCGGAGTGTAAGGAACAAGACGCCATGTATGGTTCTGTAGCAAAGCATTAAACTCCACATCCATGGCCTCACGCCACTCTGGATGGCGCACGGCCTGCGAATAACATGTGGGCTCAAGATCATCAGCAGCAGTGAACAAAGCAACATGATCCTTAGGGCCCATACTCCGTGTGCCCATCACATGAGACCGCGGCCCAACAACCTTGGCACCACGACCCCGACGCGGCCGACCACGACGGGCAACCTGCCCACAGTCAGATACAGTCCGCTCACTAGAATCCAAATCCGGAACCACGG